GAAGAACTAAAAAAAAAACCTATCAATAATATCAAATCTTTTAATACGAAAATTAAAAATAATAAAACTTATACTAATACTACTAAAAACAAACTAAAAAAACGACAAAAAAATAATAATAAAAAAAAAAAACCATCAAAACACCAAAATGATAATAACCACGAAACAAAGAAAACAAAACAAAAGAAAAAAAACGAAAAACTCCAAAAAAAAAATAATTAATACCTAAAATAGCAAAATCAAAATAAAAAAAATTAGGAATTAACTTATAAATAAAACGAGCATAATGATCCATAAAAAACTTACCCTTAAATTCAACCAAAAAATAACGAAAAAAATAATTCAAAAAACAAAAAATAAAAAACAAATAAAAATAAACCACCAAAAACTCAACACGATTAAAAGCTAAAGACATAGGTATTAAACCAACCAACCATCAAAAAGTAAAAACTACAGAAAAAAAAACTAATAAAAAACAAGAAAAATAAAACAACTTACTAGAAAAACCAACATAATCAAAAGCGGAAACACCAACACGAAACAAATACAACATACGATAACAATAACAAAAAGTTAAAAAAACACCAAAAAAATAAAAAATAACTAAAAACAATCCAAAAGAATCATAATAAAAACGAGATATAAAATACTCCTTACTACAACAACCACTAGTAAACAACAAACCACACAAACAAATCACAGAAATAAAAATCTGCAACTGAACCAAAACAGGAGCACAAAAACTAAAAAAAGAATAACCACGATAATCCTGTTGACCAGAATTAATAAAAATTAAATAACCCATCTGCATAAACAATAACCTCTTAAAAAAAGAATGACTAATCATATGGACAAAAGACAAATAATGTAAACCACTACCAATAGCCAAAAAACAAAAACCAATTTGAGACATAGTTCTTAAAGCCACAATCTTCTTAGCATCCTCCTCAACTAAAGCACAAAAACCAGAAAAAAACATAGTAAAAAAACCAACATAAAAAACAAAAGACAATAAATCAGAACTCATACTAACAAAAACATAACAATCCATTAATATTACCCCAGCAGTAACCAAAGTTCTACTATGAACCAAACAACTAACAGGAGTAGGAGCAGCCATAGCTTTAGGTAACCAACTACCAAAAGGATATTGCCCCCCTTTAATAAAAGAAGAAAAAACCAACATAAAAACCAACAAAGAACTAAAAAACTGATAAGAAAAAGAACCAACAGAAAACAAAATTAAACCATTAAAAAACAAAAAAATGCAAAAATCACCAATACGATTAGTAAAAATAGTACTCATAGCGCCTCTACGAGAAACAACATTATTATAATACAAAACTAAAAAAAAACTACTAACACCCAAAAAATCCCAAAAAATCAAAACTAAAATAACACTACCACTAAAACAAAATTAAACCACTTATCCCTTAAAAACAAACAAAAA